CGGCTCCGGCGCACAGGTGCACAGTTAAAAAATAGCACTAGAGAGCAATGGTGGAAAGATACGGGTGGGTACTCCGGCGCTCTGATCCGGGCACAGGTGGGGGCGGCTCCGAGGCACAGGTGCACAGTTCAAAAAAATCGCACTTTAGAGCAATGGTGGAAAGATACGGGTGGCTACTCCGCCGAACCGATCCGGGCACAGGTGGGGGCAGCTCCCCCACCTGTGGGGGCACAGGTGGGGGCAGCTCCGGCGCACAGGTGAACAGTTCAAAAAATCGCACTAAAGAGGCATGATGGCAAGATATGGCTGGGCTACTCCGGCGCACCGATCCGGATATAGGCGGGGGCGGCTCCGGCGCACAGGTGCACAATTTTTTAAAAAAAATCGCACTGTGCTTGCAACGCGCGCTTACGTCGTTGGCGGCAGGGACGGCGAAGATGGCGCTCTCGGGCACGGCGGGCCCCAGGCAGCTGAGCGCAAAGAAGCGCGGCGGGTGGTCGGGCGGGAAGGAGGCGGCGGCGAAGAGGCAGGCGCGCGCGCGCGTGTGCGGCATCCACAGCGCGCACGACTCGCAGCGCGGCGCGTGCGGCGCGCCCTCCGCGCCGTCCGGCACGCTGTACAGGAACTGCTGGCCGGGCTCCCCGCGGCCCGAGCCCAGGAAGTACCTGCGGCAGGAGCGGGGGCGGAACGGACAGGTCCTGTGCACTGACGACCGTTACAGCGCGAGAAGACCGGCACATGAGCAGGGCTCGGATTCTGATGAGATGCCATCTTTTCATTGGTTCATTCTAGAGTAGCTAATTTGTAAGTGAATGTTTATCACGACTTAAAGATGATAGAAATGTATAGTTATTTAGTCATTTTTTGCCATTTTTTAAAAAAATTTTAGGTCATTTTTGCGGACCTTTTCGTCATTTTTGTCATTTTTACGCGCTTTATTTCCTTTTTGTATTTTTTGTTAGTGACTATTTCATGGATTTACAACGACACACGAAGTTTGTATTGTATCATCACTTCATGACGAAATTCACTTCTGCAGTGGACTCTGTTTTTCGAACTCAAAATTACACAGATCTTCAGTAACATCCTCGATCTTTCAAAGTTGACGATTGGAAGATCGGAGCGGAAGATTAGGAGGATTACATTTTCTCCTAAAAGAATGATTTTACATTAAATAATATTTTATATAAATAAATTTTATTAATATTGTAAAATATATTGAATAAAAAGTTCATATACCTTTTTTAGTATTTATTTAAGTATGTCATTTTCCCCTTACTTTTAATTCATTATGTAGGTCATTATTTAAGAAGTTTTAGGTTATCAGAATCCGAACCCTGCTCATGAGACACACTGCGCAAGCACAGGAGAGACGTCTACTCATAATATCACTGTTCAGAAAACACAGCATTCAGAGTAGCCTTTTTCCTCATTGACGTCACGTCAAGACGTGACGTGACGTCAGACAGGTACCCAGATTCCTCGCTTGAAGTCTACATTGAGAGCCATCCATATAAGGCCCACTGATATTACATAGGGATCGAAGTCTGATTCAGTTTTCTATGAGCAATGTAAGTTATTTGATGTGCACTGACGACATTGGCGGTCTATGTATCAAATATATTTTATGTTTCACCTGGAGGGAATATAAGTTGCTGTCACTACAGTCCCTTGATGCCATAAAATAGATATCTTAAAATGTGTACGTGCCTGAGTCCGCCGGCAGCTTCACGGCCTCTCAGAGGCGTCTCACAGCTGAGGCTGCCGGCGATCTCATAGAACCCAACGTATTAGATTCATGTAGAATAAATGTAACTTTACTATTTGAATAAGTTTGAGCTCAGGGAGGGGGTGTTAATGACGAATATTCTAGTTATTCAAATAAGTTTTTTTTGATCTTGCGGCAGTGTAGCTCATGTGCCGTTTGAAATATTTTTTTATTACCCGGAGCAAATATTATCTTATATATCAAATATTATCTTACCAAATATTCACGAACGCGCTACTTGCCATACGTATTCTTAATTCAACTTAGTATAAAAGAGAGTAGGGCTCAAGAAAACATGTACAAATTGCACTTCTCCCCACAGTACGTCACAGTTTTAAACTTTTTTACCTTAAATTATCAAAGCGTAAAGTAACCAAATCACTACATTGAGAGAACGAAATTACATCGCATATGCCACAGTTGGAAACAATTATCTTATACCATGTCTGTGCTAATACGTTTAGAGCCCAGTTGACGGTTAACGACGCATGTCCAAGTTGGCAACGAGCCTTCTGACTGAAAACTCCGTGGTTAAACAACCGTAAGTCTGTGAAACGCATAACTTCAAACTCATTTTATTATAATTTGTTCTTGTATCTCGCGGGTATTCGCTTTGGTTGTTCCTATCTCACGACATACAGAGTAAAATTCTTTTCGAGGGAACGTTTAGGGATAATCCTTTCTACCCCCAAAATGTAATATATTCATATTGTGAATTTTCCTTTTCAAAGTGAAGTAATCAATATGTGTATTTGTTTATAGTATAATGAATAAAATTTCAAAATAATGTTGGGGGGAGAGGCTCGAAAAAATGTAGAATAACAAAACGAACCCACGAACAAAATAGCGGCTTACCCTAATATTTTTATGACCCAATTGATGCTTTGTTTGTCCATGTTGGAAATGCTTTGAATTGTGGAAAGAGCAATTAACATAAAGCAACCTCCTGACTACGCAACGCATCATTTCTGACGCAAAATACTTCATTGCCGAACAGTTTGTTACATAAAAACTATGTGAATTCACAGAGTTTAATGAAACTGGCTTACAATAGAGTTATCGAGGAAGCAACTATTTAGAAATATATTGCTTGTAAAATAGATTTGAAAGTAATACTTTGAACCTCTTGCATATTGAACAGCTCTACATATTCTTCACAACCAAACTAATAATCTTTGCAACTTACTTGGTTCACAATATTGTTCTTCCAAAATTTCAAATGTATTTCTCCGCTGAAACAACACACTTCGCATAAACGTACGAAATTAAAAGCGACAACTGTCACTAAAATATGCAGGAAGTCCAACCACGCAAACCTAATATTAAATATAACTATCTATCTAAGCACGTTTACTGCGAAATGCTCTCGTTGCTGTGGTTCCCGTCTGTAGTTCGCTTTCGTTCTCCAATCCCGCTGCGTCAAAAGTCCGTTCGTTAACGAGGACAAGTTAAAGGATAAAACCTAGAGGTACTATTTCTTCTCTTTCAACGAGCTCTGCCAAGATTACGCGGAAGAGACGATTAGGCAGAAAGTTTTCCTACTCATTACAGCAGACGCCGTTGTTATCGACGACGAATTTGCTTCCGTCACTATTTCCGCCTTATTCAAAGTAATCTCTAACTCACGGACTCTGTTGTGGAAGGTAACGGAGCGTGTTTTAACGGAAGCTGGAACTCATGAATATGCACTCTTCGACCAAGCAAGTGTGTTCTGGAAATATTTTCACAATGCTTGTCAACCTTTTCCACAGTGTTGCTCTGTAGATGGACTGGCGGGCAACAAGTGACACAGAATGACCAGAATTTAATCGACTATTAAGTCAGAAACTATATTTTTCATTTGTTCTTTCATACAAAGAGAGCACTTTAACCAATCCGTATTTGGTAAAAAAATTAATGAATAAAATTACATAATAATAATAAGTTATTTTTGGGACTATAAAATAAGTAGGAACCAAAAAATATTAACATCATTCGTTATATAATACGGCAACGAAATATTGACTACGAATATTTCTGATTTGAGGAATTTAGTTTTATAAGTAGAATTTTATTTTTAAAATGAAAAATTATTTACTCCAAAACATTCAATGAAGTACATGTTTAAAATAATTTTTGAAAAATTGTTAACCGACTACGTAAATCAAGCGAGAAATTTATCCCTAGGTTAAAGGGAGAGAACTTTTACTTATAATAATAGTATATTATTGTAACAAATATAAAATTACTTGTATGTATTACTACATAAATAACAGATATCTTGCTTACGAGTGTAAACTAAATATATCTTATTTGTTTTACTCTACTATTGCTGTTGATACAGATATTGAATGCAGGAATGACCATTGAAACTAAGTTAGATTGTACAAACAACGAACATCTTTCTTCTCAAAATAGGAGTGATTTAAAGAACACTTGAACCAACATTTCGAAATAAGCGTAACGAACGCACAATGAACATGATGTGATGCACAGTGAGAAGTTCGTAAGATCTAAGGCAAAGATTTCAGTGCGGGCTGTCACGCCCCATAAAAAATAATTAATAAAATAGTAGAAGACGAGACTGACGGGCGAGAATTAATTTAAAAAAGTGGAGAACTATGCAACAAGAAGAAGATAAAAAGTTAATAATAATAATAATAATAATAATAATAATAATAATAATAAACCCTGTGTGGTGTCGGGGGTTTTAGTAGAATAGCACCACGGGATCTCCCCCTGTCGTAGAAGGCGACTAATCGGAGGAGCTGACCGCTCTCCCTACCCCTGTGTTACCCTTCTTTTCACGCCAATATTCCCTTCCTCATCTGCGGGAGCGAAAGGGTGGATCCAGAAGCTTGGAAGCTCCCGTCACCCATCCCAGTGAATTTCCACTTTTGCCCTTCCTTCTTCCCCTTGCATCAACCTAGCCGTAGGCTTAAAAGGCAACCCATAGAGATATGGAGTGACAAAGAAGGAGTCGTAAGGCCTCGGAAGAAGAGCCGCTGCCTGGGGAGCGCCAGGGACCGTTTGGAGTCGGGGCTGCGGGACGCCGGCGACTGGGTGCTGAGAGGGCGGGCCCGTGCCAATAAACATGTGACAGCCCACAATATGACTACATCGTGTAACTGTGAGAACCTGGACAACGTGGAGGAAGAAAACGTAGCATGTACTTCTTATGCCACTTCATTGGCTGGCTCGTCTGACCGAAATATAAAGGAGACTGCTCGCATAGGAGACATCGCACCGAAAACAAACCTCGAATTAGTTGGACACGAGAAATGAACATGGAACTGGGACATGATGGCATTTTACCGTGCACACAAGTGCGAAGACACCCCACGTACAAGTTACAGACGACTTTTCCATGACGAGTATGAGAGGATTAGACCAAACATGCAACTTACAGAACAAAATGTTGTTGACCGTAGAAAAGCCATTACTACCAAAGGCTATTTAACACCAACTGAGAAGGAATTCGTAGGCAGGTTTCGAGTGAATTGAAGTTGAGTGACGAAAATATAGTACAACCAATCCAGGGTACCACATCAAATGACATTGAGAGTACTTTTGCAGCCGCCTCATATACAGAAGAGACCCAGGTCACTGGACTGGATGAAGCGTCAGAATGCTTCCAAAGTCTTTTGGAGCTCTATCGAAGTACTCAACCTTCCAGCAGACCACAAATACCTATTTTGAAGAACAACAAAAGAGCCAAATTACTCATTAAGAGAACCAACACCATCTTGGAACAACACCTGAAGCAATGTTTGGAACTAGAGGAAGTACACTTAGCACTATATTGTGCAGTGGCAACGGTGATCAAACTAAATGGCCAAAAGACGTATATACCAGGAAGGCAAGCTCTTTGAGGTAAAGAAAAGAAACCGACCTGGAAGAGGAGACTTGAAATAAGGGTTGATCACTTCCGAGCAAAGGCAGATTTGATTAATGAATTTCTGAAGGGCACCCGCTTCCTAAAAATATTAAAGAAGATAGCGGTGTAATGTGCCCAGACAAAAATTAATCTAGAAGAACTTAATTGTCACCAAGACTTCTCGAACTGAAGGATGAGTACCGACAGAAAGCTAAGCTCAAAGGAGCACGATTGAAAAGGTATAATGCGCTATATAACAGAAAGAAGCAGAATACTGATTTCAATAAAAACATGAAAATGTTCTTCAGACAACTGGAGTCGGGGATTCAGATTCATCTCTAAA